ATATATTTGTATGTATGTATCAAGAGCTCCTGTAAAACCACAACACATTCCTTGTGTTTGCGCACACTTAAGTGGTGAATAAAGCTCATTCTGATTCTGATTCTAATATAACTAGCATACATGTTTCACTTTTTGTGAGATGAAAGCACCCCTACAACAACTTCTAAAAGTGAACGGTAGTGTTTTACTCTAGCATTACATAAAAATTTAATTTTAACATTTAACATTTACTCTATGAATTCAGTTTGCACTGATTCTTACTTAAGCTACAAAAGTTATTTAGGTAAGAGCAGTGAGTGATTTTCTCTTTGTCTTTTGTTCATGGCCTCAAATATTGCAAGCCGTAGCGATATGCATATTGCGATATGTGCGATATATTTCGATAATTTCGATATATTGCACAGCCCTACCTGCCATCCTGCTCTTTATTGCTATAGGGTCAGCCCAATACAAGCTCAGTCTCTTCCTCTCTGTGTGTCTCTGAGGGCTGGTAATAAGATAATTACATTTGAGAGCTTAGACTCCATCCCCCATTCTCAACTTCTCCTGGATTTTTTCGTTTAGTCTCTTCTCTTTGGTGTTGATTGCTGGGTCATTAAATCTGTTGCCTAAACTACATCACATGTCCAGGAAATCTCAGCTTTGTAAACTTGGGTTAGTTTTATATAAACTATAGAGGTCTATGATGTATCCTCATTGAGATTTGAAATCTAATTGTGTGTGTTGTATGTTTATGCAGATTTGCATACAGTAGAACCTCTAAGCTTATACTCCACAGCTCTGAGACCAAAAGAAGTCTCCCATGTACAACCTGACCTACATTTGCTGCATATGGAGAAAAATCTAGATCATTCATGACACATCTGGCTCAGTTAAAGAGCTTGTGGATGTAGATCTGGATTAAACATGCAGGACTCCTGAAAGTAACTCCCATTTTATCCAAAAGGGGTGTCTTTTCTATCTAGAATAGCTCCTCGCACACAAGCATAATAGTTTAAAAACGATGTTACTCCAGATTACAAATAAAGACAACATGTGATACTGTACAATAACAAAAGATTTTGATTGTAAGAACCAGCTTTCAGTGGCCTCGTTGTATTAATTGTTCACAGCTCATTTACTGCTACACTAAAAACAACGAAGCCTAAATGATACTTTCTCTCTCTCTCTCTTTCTTTCTCTTCAGTCTGTGTTGTTGCTAGGCGCAGCAGTGTTGGTGTGTTTGGCGCTTGACCTCCTCTTCCTCCTCTTCTACTCCTTTTGGCTATGCTGCCGTCGCAGGAAGAACCAGGACTCGCCCAACGCGGACTGCTGCTGCACCGCTTGGTGCGTGATCATCGCCACGCTCGTGTGCAGGTCCGTGGTTTGCATTCTTATACACTTAAACATGAAACACTCATCACCTCACTGCCTCCACACACGTATAATGTGGCAATACACATCATAAATTCCAGTTAATTGGGCATCGCTTTTGAACTTCCACACAAATAAAACTGTTAATGAAATCCATCCAGTTGGGAACATTTCGGCTCTGTTCCTAAATCTAGAGAGCTCTATTGCTGTCCACTGCCAACACAGGCAGAAATCTGAAATAGAAGCTCATAGTTGACTAATCTCAAAGGACTAGTTCCCCCAAAAATTAAACATTTTAGTGAAAATGTACTCACCCTCAGGCCATCCAAGATGTAGATGAGTTTGTTTCTTCATTGAAATAGATTTGGAGAAATTTAGCATTACATCACTTTCTCACCAATGGATCCTCTGCAGTGAATGGGTGCCGTCAGAATGAGAGTTGATAAAAACAATATAATAATAAACAGTTGCTTCCAGCTAAAATATGAGTCCTCTATTAATCATATGCATATATGTCGGCGCCAATAGCCTAGTGGGCAGTGCGCCGACATATAGTGCTGTTGCGCTCTGGGTGTCCCGAGTTCGAGTCCCCGCTCATGGACCTTTCCTGATCCCCCCCCCCCCCTCTCTCTCTCTCCCTCTCCTACTTCGCTTCCTGTCACTGCTATACTGTCCTATCAAAATTAAAAATGCCAAAAATAAATCTTAAAAAAAAATAATAATATCCATATATTCTCTAGTGAAAAATTTTAAATATGCACAGATCAAACACAAGCGATCTAATCGAAGTATGTTGTTGGATTTTGATGTGAGAGGACAAGATGGGATGGGGGATGTTATTATGCAATGTGGACTTGAATTTAGGCCATAAGCAATGGTTTGAAGTGAAAAGCCTTCATGATGGATTTGTTTCTTACAAGCACGCAGCTTTTTGCTTCAAAAGATGTTAAAGAATGGGCTGAAGTCTCATGGATTGCTTGTGGATTATTGTGATGTTTTTATCATCTGTTTGGACTCATTCTCTGACGGCACCCATTCACTGCAGAGGATCCATTGGTGAGAAAGTGATGTAATGCTAAATTTCTCCAAATCTATTTCAATGAAGAAACAAACTCATCTACATCTTGGATGGCCTGAGGGTGAGTACATTTTCACTAAAATGTTTAATTTTTGGGGGAACTAGTCCTTTGAGATTAGTCAACTATGAGCTTCTATTTCAGATTTCTGCCTGTGTTGGCAGTGGACAGCAATAGAGCTCTCTAGATTTAGGAACAGAGCCGAAATGTTCCCAACTGGATGGATTTCATTAACAGTTTTATTTGTGTGGAAGTTCAAAAGCGATGCCCAATTAACTGGAATTTATGATGTGTATTGCCACATTATACGTGTGTGGAGGCAGTGAGGTGATGAGTGTTTCATGTTTAAGTGTATAAGAATGCAAACCACGGACCTGCACACGAGCGTGGCGATGATCACGCACCAAGCGGTGCAGCAGCAGTCCGCGTTGGGCGAGTCCTGGTTCTTCCTGCGACGGCAGCATAGCCAAAAGGAGTAGAAGAGGAGGAAGAGGAGGTCAAGCGCCAAACACACCAACACTGCTGCGCCTAGCAACAACACAGACTGAAGAGAAAGAAAGAGAGAGAGAGAGAAAGTATCATTTAGGCTTCGTTGTTTTTAGTGTAGCAGTAAATGAGCTGTGAACAATTAATACAACGAGGCCACTGAAAGCTGGTTCTTACAATCAAAATCTTTTGTTATTGTACAGTATCACATGTTGTCTTTATTTGTAATCTGGAGTAACATCGTTTTTAAACTATTATGCTTGTGTGCGAGGAGCTATTCTAGATAGAAAAGACACCCCTTTTGGATAAAATGGGAGTTACTTTCAGGAGTCCTGCATGTTTAATCCAGATCTACATCCACAAGCTCTTTAACTGAGCCAGATGTGTCATGAATGATCTAGATTTTTCTCCATATGCAGCAAATGTAGGTCAGGTTGTACATGGGAGACTTCTTTTGGTCTCAGAGCTGTGGAGTATAAGCTTAGAGGTTCTACTGTATGCAAATCTGCATAAACATACACACACACACACACACACACACACACAACATGGTGCCAAGTACTAGGATATGATAATAAATCAACATCCCTTGTTAGTCTCGGAACAACATTCCTATCAAAATCACAGTCGTTTTTTAACATACAAATATAGGGAATATTTAGATTCCTCTGGAATATCTTTGTTTAATGGAATATATAGGGGATGTCCTTTGTTTACAAGGGTTGCTAATAGCTGGAATACACTACAAGACCTTTGCCCAGATTTACAGTCTGGACAAGATGACACTAGTTGCCAAAAATCAGAGCCAGTCTGCAGGTTTGAGTTGACCGATTTCATAGAAAATCCTCAGTTGTTTATTGTATGATTCCCATTTTTTCCTATGTAAATATAAAGTCGGCAAGTGTATGATGCCTAAAGTTTTAAAATCTGTTTAGATTCCCCAAGTCTCTTACATTATTCTACCGCTAAAAATGGCCACAACAACAACAACACTTTTAACGTAAGACTATGTTATTTTATTATTATTTTTTACATTTGATCTAATTAAAATATACATTTTATCATCAATTAAGATTGTATTAAGAATTAAGGGCAAATTTAGCAAGCACCACAAATGACAAAAAAGCATAACTTTTCAAATTACAGCAAATAGCAAAGCATGATGACTTTTTAAAATGATTTAAATGTTATTATCATGATTCATATGTTCTAACTCATTCTAACATTCTAACGTAATGCTTAAAAACATATTGAAGAAAGTGCATTTCTTTGAACTTCTGGAATAACTACATTAATTTGTGGTTATTTCATTTATCTATATTGACACTCCCAGTTTCTGTTAATCATAAAATAATATAATTCATACACACACACACTATGTAAATACACACATATTGCGTTGGACATTCAGAGGCCTCAAAAATGTTGATAACCTCTGTTCTAAAAACCTTACTGAAAGACCTTACTGAGTTCAGGGTATAAAAGGAAATGCAGCAGCACCAAACAGCTGATAATCACAAGCTCAGGTTTTTGAAATAGAGCAAGATCACTAATTTGTCCTCAAATGCCCAGAGTGACCCAGTCTGATATATGTACACCCCTGTGCTGACGCTCATCACAGCTTAAACACTCACTGTTATCTTGAGTGGGCTGAGATATTGTGTTATGGCTTAAAACTGGTGTCATGAGATTTTCACATTAATATCCATCCCTAGTCGTCTGTGAGATTGAGGGACCTGTGAGCAAGTTGATGTCAGCTTTTGTGTTGATGTCTCAAAGCTCATTTGAGTCAGTCACCAATGACAGCAACCGTTAAGAGATTAGAGAGGATTAATTATCAGCTCAAACACACACACACACACACACACACACACACAACATGGTGCCAAGTACTAGGATATGATAATAAATCAACATCCCTTGTTAGTCTCGGAACAACATTCCTATCAAAATCACAGTCGTTTTTTAACATACAAATATAGGGAATATTTAGATTCCTCTGGAATATCTTTGTTTAATGGAATATATAGGGGATGTCCTTTGTTTACAAGGGTTGCTAATAGCTGGAATACACTACAAGACCTTTGCCCAGATTTACAGTCTGGACAAGATGACACTAGTTGCCAAAAATCAGAGCCAGTCTGCAGGTTTGAGTTGACCGATTTCATAGAAAATCCTCAGTTGTTTATTGTATGATTCCCATTTTTTCCTATGTAAATATAAAGTCGGCAAGTGTATGATGCCTAAAGTTTTAAAATCTGTTTAGATTCCCCAAGTCTCTTACATTATTCTACCGCTAAAAATGGCCACAACAACAACAACACTTTTAACGTAAGACTATGTTATTTTATTATTATTTTTTACATTTGATCTAATTAAAATATACATTTTATCATCAATTAAGATTGTATTAAGAATTAAGGGCAAATTTAGCAAGCACCACAAATGACAAAAAAGCATAACTTTTCAAATTACAGCAAATAGCAAAGCATGATGACTTTTTAAAATGATTTAAATGTTATTATCATGATTCATATGTTCTAACTCATTCTAACATTCTAACGTAATGCTTAAAAACATATTGAAGAAAGTGCATTTCTTTGAACTTCTGGAATAACTACATTAATTTGTGGTTATTTCATTTATCTATATTGACACTCCCAGTTTCTGTTAATCATAAAATAATATAATTCATACACACACACACTATGTAAATACACACATATTGCGTTGGACATTCAGAGGCCTCAAAAATGTTGATAACCTCTGTTCTAAAAACCTTACTGAAAGACCTTACTGAGTTCAGGGTATAAAAGGAAATGCAGCAGCACCAAACAGCTGATAATCACAAGCTCAGGTTTTTGAAATAGAGCAAGATCACTAATTTGTCCTCAAATGCCCAGAGTGACCCAGTCTGATATATGTACACCCCTGTGCTGACGCTCATCACAGCTTAAACACTCACTGTTATCTTGAGTGGGCTGAGATATTGTGTTATGGCTTAAAACTGGTGTCATGAGATTTTCACATTAATATCCATCCCTAGTCGTCTGTGAGATTGAGGGACCTGTGAGCAAGTTGATGTCAGCTTTTGTGTTGATGTCTCAAAGCTCATTTGAGTCAGTCACCAATGACAGCAACCGTTAAGAGATTAGAGAGGATTAATTATCAGCTCAAACACACACACACACACACACATGAGCGCGTAAAAGACTTTCTTCCAAAAACATAAAACCCCCCCCCCCCGATTCTTCCGAACATCATCTAAACGTTGACTGGATGTTGTTCTAGCGTTGCGTGGGAATGTGTCAGTGCTCCAGGAATGAAGGATCTGACTCTAGTGGTGTTCTCTTCAGGGTCGGCGTGCTGGAGGATGATTTCACCTGTCTGGGAATCATGTGTGCCATAATCTTCTTTCCTCTGGGAATTCTCTTCTGCCTG